TGGCTTATTGAAGAACTTGTGTGTCACAATACAATTAAGTCTATATAAAAAGTCATTTCATGCATAACATTAAATTGACTAAAAGTTGCTATTTCAAAACCATTTCTTGTTATAAAGCTACCTCAGAGTATCTTTGTTTTTTAAATAAGCTCATTTGAACATAGTAGTAATTAAAGCAGAAAAATTAACATAAATCTTGAACGTTTGGTATGAATTAGGGATGTTTTGGTTCTCTTCAAAAGACTTCATAAAATTCTAGACAGCACATCATTTAGCAGATTTCTTCCTCATTCGCATAGCACTACACACTGGATCAGCAGGCTTTAGGATTCCTTCTCCAGTTCTTTTTCAGCTCAACTACATACCTGCTGGAATATGGTGGCCGTGTCTGTCCAAAACTAGTCTCACAGGTCTTAGAAAACTGCACCTGATGTATCGTATATCGTATAATTGCTTCCACCTTCCCACCCTGTTTTATGAAACAGAAAAAAAAGTTCTTCTATTAATATTCATTTAACACTTCATAGGAAGTAGCAAGCAGTTATTTGGTTTGCGAATGTTAATATACATTTTTCATCCATGTATGCTTTTACTTCTTCCAAACACGATAAAGGCGGAAATGAGGATGTGTCACCAAAGTTCAGGTTCAGTGGGTTCCAAGTAAAATGTAATGGCAGCGATGGAAGAGGGTTGCTTGTGAAGGAGTTCGCTGCGGGATGGTTACAGTGATGAGGGGCTGGATGCCTTCCTCACGAGAATCAGGTCAAGACGTGAACTCCTTTCTCACATGTTATGAAAACAACATAAATGATTTTTTCTGATGAATCATTGAGTTCCCATTCAAATACTTTGGAAGTTTAAAAATGATTTCAATAATTAAACAACTGAAATTCAGAGAGGTCCTATTGTGATTCATTATAGATTCAAAAAGTTGGAATAACGACTGTAAGCATATTATATCTATACCTAAATAGAGACTGGTATACCTCCAAGGAAGTGACCTCAACCATTTGATGTTCAAGTTGCGATGAACATGTCTGGGTAACTAGTCCAAAGTATTTCTAACTTCCTGTGGCATTGCTTCAAATCATTGTGTTGTTCACGTTATATTTCTGCAGTGTTCTTTCTGTGGATATTGAAAAGTAAAATATCAGATCTTAAAATTCTTGGAAATGATGTCTAATTTGATCTACATCAAGAGTATCATGTTATATAAATCCTAATTGTTTATTTTTAATTGTTGGAATGAAAATAAGAAATTATTCACTTGAAAAAAATTTTAATTGGACAAGTTGAAATTCAGTACATTTTCAGAAAGAGATTGAAATCATTTTTAAGATGAAAAATTGCTTTTTAAAATTCTGAATACGGTATCAAAGAAAGAATTGTTTGATTTTAATGATGTTAGCTATATAGTTCAAATTAATAATTATTTTTTTTAATAATTATTAAAAACCTTGTTATGCAAATTTATGCTGCAAAAGATGAATGAATTAAATATTGAAGCAACAACCTTGATTTTTTTTTAAGATTTATTTTATTTTTATTGCAAAGTCAGATATACAGGGAGAAGGAGAAACAAAAAGGAAGATCTTCCATCTGGTAATTCACTCCCCAAGCAGTCACAACTGCTGGAGCTGAGCCAATCTGAAGCCAGGAGCCAGGAGCCAGGAGCTCCAACTGGATCTCCCACATGAGCGCAGGAACCTAAAACTTTGGGCTGTCTTTGACTGCTTTCCCAGGCTGCAAGCAGGGAGCTGGATGGGAAGCAGGGCCTCAGGGTTTAGAACTGGCACCCATATGCGATCCCAGCGCATCCAAGGCAAGGACTTTAGCTTCAAGGCCATTGCGCCAGACCCCAGCTTGATTTTTAAAACTGTAAAGGAATATTTATGAGAGTTTAGAGACACGCAAAACACTGTGTGTATGCAGTAAAAGAGTATTTTGATTTTAGATGTAACTATTCTTTGGATGGCTTATTTTTTTTTTCAGACTTTAAGAAATGTACATTTTTTTTGCACCATAGGAATGGAAAGGTGCATTGTTTGTGAAATTTAATTTTCACTTTAGGAACTTAAATTCATCTACTGTGTCTAATGTCCTGTGTTCAAGCAAACATTTAAGCCTTGTGAAACCTGAATATTATAAAATTTGAAAGTTTTGGAGAATGAAAAATTTGCAAATTCTTTGTTAGGCACAGGCCCTGAAAGAAAGCCATGCAACTGAATAATTAGATTTAGGTGTCAGTAAACTCCTAGTATACATGCTTTAACTCCAGTAAATGTTATAAGACATTAAGATATATAATACTAGGCCTGGCGCGATGGCGCAGTGGTTAAGGTCCTTGCCTTGCATGCCCGGGATCCCATATGGGCGCTAGTTCTAATCCCGGCAGTCCCGCTTCCCTTCCCGCTCCCTGCTTGTGGCCTGGGAAAGCAGTCGAGGACAGCCCAAAGCTTTGGGAACCTGCACCCGCGTGGGAGACCTGGAAGAGGCTCCTGGCTTCGGATCGGCATAGCATCGGCCGTTGTGCTCACTTGGGGAGTGAATCATCGGATGGAAGATCTTCCTCTCTGTCTCTCCTCTCTGTATATCCGCCTTTCCAATAAAAAATAAAATAAATCTTAAAAAAAGAAAAAGATATGTAATACTTAGGGCTCCACACAATAGACTAGTGGCTACATCCTTGCCTTACATGTGCCAGTGCTGCTTCGGGTTCCTGGCTGTTCCACTTCCCATCCAGCTCCCTGTTTGTGGCCTGAAGAAGCAGAATATGGCCCAAAGCCTTGGGACCCTGCACCTGCATGGGGAAACTTGAAGTTCCTGGCTTCTGACATCGGATTGGCTCAGCTCCGGCTCTTGTGGTCACTTGGGGAGTAAACCTGCAGATGGAAGGTCTTTCTGTCTCTCCTTCTCTCTGTATATCTGCCTTTCCAAAAAAAAAAAAAAAAGGTATACTTAAGGCTTAATCCTTACTTTTCTCAAGCCTGGAATGAAATTAATACTTGGTTTTCAAGGATACTCCTATGAAAGTTAGATAAGTGTATAGAGGGACTTTGATCTATTGATGAAATAATTTTTAATTCCTTCTCATTTAAAAATCATCTTTATTTCAGGTTTCTAGGTTGTTCCAACTTAGGTCAAAGTTTTGGATATAAACGTTTATTTCTTGCAGAGTAGAAATCCCTGTGTTTAGCACACTCAGGGCAGGCATCATTTCATGAGGATGGTGACTTTCGCTGGCTGTCATTCAAACAAGTAGGACTGATCGTAGTCACTGTTGACTTCCTTGCAACTCAAGTCACTGTCGACAGATGGTAGTGACGATCTGTTATGCAGCTGGCAATAATGATGAAGGTCTCTCTTCATGTGACCTTTAGATATATTAGAAAAATCTTTTCAAAATGCCATTCTACTTTGAAAATAATTACATGAATATTTAATTTTACTCTCGATGAAAGGTGAAATTGCATAAGAAATACAAATAGCAGAAGATTGTTGTAATAAAAGTCTGAGTGTGATAGCAAGGAACTGTCTGTTCACTCATTCGCGCATCCATCAATCCAGTGTAGTGTCTTCTTTTTGTCTAAGTTCTGTGCCAGGAACTGTTGCACTGAAGTATGCTCTGTGAGCACCTTCCTCTCATGGAATTTATAGCCTTGTATGAACAACACAGGCAACAATTGTCTCTCAGATACTGATTTACTTTTATGACTGATAAATGTAAGTGTTAAAATAATGTATTTTTACATTTGGTATTTTTTACGTGAATGACAGAAGCCTACACAATTGGGCTATCATCTACTACTTTTCGGATGCACTAGTGGGTACCCCCTTTAAAGCAGAACAGCCAAAATTCAAACTTTTAAACAGGTGCACTAATATAGAATGTAGTTATTACAAACAGTGGGATAAGCCAATGCAAGCTCCTGTATTTGATAATTTTATTTTGAACTAGACAAGTTGATACATTCAACCACTAGCTATTTGTTTCCGGGATAACCAAACCAATTTCTTCCCATTGAAATTTTTGTTTTCTCTTTGGATTTGGAGTAATAGGCTGGTCTGCTAGTCTGTTCTGAGGTGCTGTTCTTTAAAAACATGATACGAATAGCTGTAGATAATGTTTTTTCCTAAACATTGGCAGAGTTTGATCCATTATATGTGGTATTATTTTCCACATGCTTTTTATTTCATCTCTTACAAAACATTTTCTCTAAGTTAAAGTCTATAATTCTTTCCAATCTCAGTTTTATGTTTGTAATGAGAATTTCCTTAGTTTTTTCTTAAAGAGATTCACTTTTAGATTCATTGTTGCATGACATATTTAGCAAATAATTACAAAACTATTTTACATAGTGGTTTCCACAAGGAATTCATGAAACCGTTTGCATTTGTGGGTTTTTACAAAATAAATAAAGCTGCAGTTGCTGGGTAAATGTAATTGTATTACTGAGCCCATTAAATTGTTTAAAAGAAACTGTAAACAATTTGGTGAAAATGCAAGTACTTTGTTTCTCTCTCTTATTTTTTTCATAAAAAATCCTGTAAAATTAAGAAATTGATCATTCCCCTGTGGCTGTGGTAGAAGTTATGCCAGAAATAGATGTGGATAAGTTTGGAATCATATGAATGATAAAAAAATTTGTGAAAATAATGAGGTGTAAGTGAAGTTTTAGAAAATCTATTTAATGTGTATTTAAATGGCTGTACTTTCCTTCTTTCAGAGATCCAATATTTCTTTGCTATAAATACCTGGCCTGATCATGGCTAAATCTGTGGCATTTATTTCTATGAGTTGTATTTCAAATAAGTTAGTGTATCTTCAATATATTAACTCTGATATTCTGTTAACATTCATTTGTTATGGTTCATTGAAAACAGTTGCTTGAATCCCTGGAATATTAATCAATTCATATTTTTTCTAAATTTCCAGATTATTATTATGTGGTACACAGATTAGTCATTGCCTGTTCTCTTTTACTTTTTTTTTTCCCTAGTAAAAGAAGCCTTGAGTCCTATAAAATTCAACAGATGGGGTCTCCCTGAAGTTGATCCAGAGACTATGCAAACAAGTGAACCATGGGTGTTTGCAGGTGGTGATATTGTTGGTGTGGCTAACACTACAGTGGAATCGGTGAACGATGGAAAGCAAGCTTCTTGGTACATTCACAAATACATACAGGTAGGCATTTATCATAATCGCATTTCGTTTTTCACAGTGAGTACATACTTATTTTTGGTTATAATAATAGGAACATTTTCATAGAGTTTATAATAAGTATACTTATTTATTTAGATTCTATTTTTAAAATATAGGCTACTTTAATTGACTGAATTTGTTATGCATTTCTATCAGTGTAGTGAATTCATGCATCATTTCTGCTGCCTTCAGTAGATTCAATGGTGGCTGAAATATACAGAGAAATGTATTTATAAAACCAAATGATGTATTTATGATATCTGATGGGAGACAGAATTGATATTCATGATATTACATAGATCAACCTGCATACATTTGGACCAAATGAAGTCTTTTATATTTCTGCAATTTTATGTACTTTACCTTAAGTGTAAACAAATGTGTAATTAATATAATTTTTTGCTGTTTGCTTTGTAATAAATTTCAAAATGAAAAATGATGAAATGCAATGTTGAACTTGCTCTTGTATGTGCAGTAACTGGGTAGTCTTGGCGAAGGGAGCCATACTTTACAATTAGTAGTTTTTCTTTTTGACCAAATAAATGGGTAATTTTTGTCCTGTTTAATAATTTAAATTATATTCAAAGTTGCCTTTTTTTTTTTTAAGTGGAAAATGCTTCTGAAGAAGTTTCCTCTTGGGAATGAGATTCTTATTGTCTCTTTCTGATTCCGGGAAGACTCTACTCACAATATTCTTCCTTATGTTCCCTCTTTCAATTTACCTTTTTTATTCCACTGTACTAACAACACTCTCTCTTTACCATTACCTTGAATTTTTAACCTTTTTGTATTGTAATTATTGTTCTATTGTGTTTGCAATTGATGTGCAGGTGGTTATCTGTTAGATAGGTCTGCTGATTGCAATGTCTTTTCTGTGTTTGACTGCTTTTCCTACTTCCATCTCTCCCTGGCATCTCTGAGTAGTGAAGCTGCTGCTGAGTCTAGGCCAAGGTATTATCTCACAGAAGTGTAGGATCCTAAAACAGAATGTCAGCAACCTGTGGGTTTTGCATAGAGACAAAGTTGTGACGTACAAAGCAGCTAGAAAGACTCCAGATTTATAAACAAAAACTCCAGGGCCTTGCATTATGGCGATGCAGCTTAAGCCACCATTTGCTATGCAGCATTCTGTATTGAAGCACTGTTCAAGTCCTGGCTACTCTTTTTCACAACCAACTCTCTGCCATTGTCCTTGGGAAAGCATTGGGAAATGACCCAAATTCCTAAGTTGTGCCTGGTTTCCTGCCATGCACCTGGGAAATTCAGACGGAATTCCTAGGTCCTGGTGTTTGTTGACCCAGATCTGTCTGTTGTGGCCATCAGGGGAGTGAACCATAAGTTCCTAATCTTGTCTTCTTCAGTGTGTCATATTATTCCACTCATGATCCAGGTGTCTTGTAGATATCCCACATACTGTTTAACCTACTTTTCCAACACACTGACATGCTCATATGAATGTCTTTCACAATCACTACTTTTTTTTATTGATTACATTGCATTATATGACACAGTTTATAGGCCCTGGGATTCCCCCTACCCTTCCCCAAACTCTCCTCCCATGGTGGATTCCTCCACCTTGTTGCATTACCACTACTACTAAACCAAATGTGCTAAACCTACTCTACACACAGCGTTTAACATTTCCGATTCTCAAGTTCAAGCACACTAAAATAGTATCCTTCACACTTAGATTATGCAAACTGAGGCAGTTTTCAAAATAAAGTTTGGAATCAATATGTGATTGATGGCTACTTTAACATTTTTTTTTATTACAAAGAGATATACAAAGACAGGTGTATAGAGATGTCTCTCTCTGCTGTTTCATAGTTCAAAATTACACAGCAGATAAGGATAGGCTAGGAGAAAGCCACAAGTGAGGAACTCAATCCAAATCTCTCATGTGCTTTGACAGGGACACAACTGCTTGCACCTTTACCATCTGCATATCAGGGTGTACATTACCACGAATGTAAAATCAGGTGTGCGGGAGGGGATTGAACCTGGGCACTCTGATATTGCACATGAGCTCCCAAATGTCATCTTAGCTGCTAGGCCAAATGCCAACTGTGAGAGCTAATGGCTGTTTTACCTAGAATCAGCATTAAGATAAACACACAAGCGAAGGAGACTGTAGCATTGCTAGAATATATTCATAGGGAAATTTTGTAAAAAAAAAAAAAAAGGAAAGGATACAATGTCAAGATGCTTTTCAGAAAAATGCAGTTAACAAGATCACAACAGTTTGTGTGCACAGCACACACATATGCACTCACACACACATAAGCACATGCTTTTTTCTCATAAAACAGCATAAATGCATGCAGGTACATGCACAAACTATCTGTGCTTTATTTTATTCTTGTCTCTCGTGTATTTCTGATCAGTTCTATTTCTTCTAGACATGTTTTAATGTATTTGTTTCAATTTGCCTATCTTTTGTGTGGCGTTACAGTTTTTGTTGGCCCGACATCTTACCAAGCAGCCTGTTAGCTCCTTGAAGAAATCAAAGTGAAATCAGATATAGAAAAGGAATCTCTTCTGTCAAGTCCGCATGAAACCCAGTGCATGTGTGAATTCAGTTTCTAGGAGTGAAAATGGTGGATGACACAGATGCTGGAGAGATTTGAATAGCTAAAATTGGACAGGGTCAGTGAGAAAATATTTTTTCCTTTAAACATTTAAATCTTCTAGATTTTGAATTAAAATACATGAAATGTTTAAACATATTTTGTGTTTCACAATTATCATCCTAAATATTCCTTTAAAAGTAAAAGTTACAGGTTGCTGAGAGGAAGAGAGAGAACCCTCCCATCTACTGGTTCACTGTCCAAATGCTTGTAATAGCCCAACTGGGGGCCAGAGCGAGAGTGTAGATGCAGTGTATGTCTCCCACGGGAGTAGCGTGACCCTGAGTCATTGCTGGCTCCAGGGCCTTAATTCACCTGCAGGTGGAGTCAGGAGCCAGATTCAGTGGTGGGGCCCAAGGACTCCCGTGTTGGATATGCAATCTTATCAGATATTACTAACTCCCCTCTGCTGAAGGATTCTTAATCGTTGTTTTTCTTTCAAATTCTTGCCTATTTTATTTTAGCTTCCCTAAATCCGATACGTGTCTCCTGGAAAAAAACAAAAGTTAGCTATCGTTTTATTTAGCTTTTCTTACTTTGAAAGGAGAGAAGCAGACCTTTCTGATGAAGTAAAACTTGCATGTGTTAAGAAATACATAACTCTAGGAATGACAGTGTCTGGAATATAAAATAAAAAATCTGTGCACAGTGAGAGTTTTGGATTTGGTTGAAGGATTTCAGACTTGTCAAACTAAGTGTTGAATTACATTTTAAAATAAAAAAAGAGATGGAAGGTAGGTAAAAAATTCTGTCAAATAAATTTGGTGTGTCTACCTGTCTACCAGGGTGTGGAAGTGAAAGTGCTAAGCAGTGGTATGGGTAAAAAGGAATACACGGACAAAGTGAGATTTTTCTCATGAACTTCATTCTCTTCTGTATTGCTTTCCTTGAAATTACCTCTACTTTCTCTGTTATGTCCTCTGCCTTACTCAGCCAGAGCCATCTTGCTAGAATGAAGTTTGGCTGCTAATTTCCTTACTTAAAATCCTCAGTGGCTTTTCTTTGCACTTCAGATGAAGCTTGATCTCTTGTGACATCGATTTGATTGTGACCAATACACAAGAATTCTTCTGTATCAATATTTTCCCCATATTCCATCCACTTTCTTGGGTTGGATCCTGCTTGCCTTTCCAGGTTTCCGCTCTCATCCTTTTCCTGGTGTAGTTTTCCTTTCTTTATAACATGATTTATTTATTTATTATTTTTAAGGCAAAGTAACACACAGAGGAAGAGGGTGAAAGAAAGACAGGAAAGTCTTCCTTCTGCTGGTTCATTCCACAAATGGCCGCAGCCTCTGGGGTTAGTTTAGATCAAAGCCAGGAGCCAGGATGATGGACTTCATCTGGTTCTCTCGCATGGTGCAAGGGCACAGTGGGTTGGGCTATCTTCCACTGCTTTCTCAGGAGCATTAGCAAGATAATGGATTGGAAGTTGAAGCCCAGACTTGAACTAGCACTCAAATATGATTTCAACATCACAGGGAACAAGTAGCCCCATGGTGACACAATACCGGCCCCTTGATATGTTTAAAGCCTATTTCTTAATCTGTCTCTACACAAGACAGTGACCATGCTCGTCTACTTTTGCCACCTAAAGTAAGGAATGCGATCATTTAATGAACAGGATAAATGCTTAAATGAATTTAAAGAGGCATTAAGGAAATAAATCAGGGGTGGAGGGTGGATAGCATTTTGGTGCAGTGGTTTAAGCTCTGCTAGCCATGATGCCATCTTGTATCAGAAAACTGTTTTGGGGTCGCTCTGCCTTCTATCCAGTTTCTAGCTAATGTCATCAAGAAGCAGTAGATGATGACCTTACTACGTGAGTTCCTCTCATGTTTGTAGAATGCCCACAGGGAGATGCTGCATCGTTGCCTGGTGCAGTCCTGACTGTTTTTGCTCCCTCACTGTCTCCCTGCATCCCTGCTCTCATCCCCGTCCACGTGTGTGCATTTCTCTCACTCTGGGTTACTCTGCCTTTCAAGTCAATAAGTAAGCAAACAAATCAAATCTTAAAGAAGGAAAATGAATGGGATTATTATGTGGCAATCTAAATAACATTTAAACCAGTGTTTCCTTACAAATATATAATTTGTTAAAAAATTCTATAACATGTACGATGTATTTGTGAAAAGATGATTATATTCTTTTGCTTTACATTTCACATTAGACCCTTTGGGAGAATATTAATTATATTGATGGCGATTTAGTAGCTACATGATAGTATGGATTAGTGTATGGGATAAATGAAATTTAGTATTTAGAATTCCTTTATGATAAAGTCTTACATAGGAATTTTTTAGACATTCATATTAGGATTTCAGTAAGTCCCACAGTAGTCAGAAAAGAGTGTCAC